GGTGGATGTAGTTTAGATCAGGCCCCGTCTCCCTGGGCCCGGGGCCGGCCGCCGCCCTCGGCCGCCGCCGCCGCTGCCATTATACACTGTACAAAGCAAAGAGGTTCCCGATTAAACTGTGTTGAAGAAGATTCCTCGGTGTGGCGTCTTTCTTGCTGGTCAAGGGTGGACGCCGCAGTGGTTGATATCCACGGGAGAGTGGTACCAGAGCTTCCTTGGAAGCCCTCATCTGTAGACGCTCAGACCCTGCTGTAACATGGCACAGTATCTATGTGGGACCTCTGTGTGTCTGCCCCACCCACACTTTAAATCAGATCTGAACCACCTGCGATGCCTAACACGATATAAATACTGTGAGACAGTCACTCAGCTGATTAGAGAATAAGAGGGGCTTCTGTCATTCGCTAGCTGCTGCCACCGAGTCTAGGCATCCACAGGAGTCAGTCATGCAGGCTGCACTGCTCCAGGTGCTGGATCAAGAGAGTAAGCAACCGGCCACATAGCACCTAGCCCAGTCACCTCTCAAGGCCTGGACTCCTTGCAGAACAATGGGCAGAATAACCCCGAGACTATGGGAGGGGCAGATCTGTGGTGGTCACTAAGCTGAGGTCAGGCCAATGCAAGCCAACCTATACGAGGACCTCCAGCACTGGTGACCCTGGGCAGCATCAGGTACAAACACCTCTGATCCCAATGTGGTGGCCATTGTACCTAGTCAGAGGCTTGATGTGAAGAAAAGGAAGCAGGCCCTCCCCCTGAAGAGTTCCTGGGCTCTGAGCCCCAGAAAGAATGAAGTCCATTGACTTTTTCAACCACCAAAACTGAAAGAGAAAGGATCAGAAAGGATATCAGCCTGCTCAGTAGAGACAGAGATCTTTTTCTAACTATTTTCATCTGCAGATGCCTCTATTTATATCTGCAGAATCCATAGATTCGAGAGGCCGACTCCAGACTTTACCATAGCCCAACCACACAGGTAAAGACTGAGATATCTTAAAGTAACAGCATCAGTTCCTCACACAGCAGAACATAGCCCACAGGGAACACAACACAACACAAGCACACTTCAATACAGATGACAAAGAGCGCTGTCGTGAAACATGAAGTAGAACTGGTCACAGCTGCCCCACCGTGCCCTTCCTTTAGTGCACATGACAAGACCCTGTGCTTCTGTTTTCCGCTGATGTACTGCACAGCTAAATTGCTAGAAAGACACACAGAACCAATGTGAACCATAGAAAGCAAATCCAGACACACACCTTAATTTTCAGAACCTGATTCTAAACAAAGTCACTTAGAAGGAAGGAGGCCTTTAACATGTATGAAATACTCCAGGACTGCTACAATTTGGATTGGAATGTACCCCCAAATGTTCAGGTGCTGAAGGCTTGTTCCCGCAGCCTAGTGGGAAGTCTCCTATTCACTGGATGGAACAATAGGGCTCCAATTTCCTTCCGCTTGTGACATGAGCTCTGCTCTGCCACCATTCTACCCCAGGATGCTATAGT